CTGCGCGCTGTCCCCCCGTCCCCCCCTCGCCAGGCAATATCGATCGCCGGGCGGTCACATCTCGCTACGCGCTCGAATTGGACAGTGGGCAGGGCAAAGACGACGATTTTCGATAATTTTTTTCTCGTTAACTATTGCGAAAATTGCAAAATGTTTCAGGACTTTTCTGTTCATCTCGATCCGTTCTACCTTCTCACGAGCTCGTGGACAAATATTATAACTCACCCTGTAGAACTAAAGTAACATTTTTTTAATTTATACTAAAATTATCCACAGTGTGACATTTAATGAATACTTAAATTAAGGAAATGTATGCTTTAATTAATTTATAATTTTTTAAATTTAAGTTAATAAGCTATTAGGAGCCACCTAAAAAATAATTTTCTTAAGTAAAGTAATATTTTTTGGATTAAGATATTTTTTTATCAGTGTAGTAATATACATAATTCACTACATTTTTTAACGCAAACTTTCGTGTTCATGTTCTGTGACTAGAATCATCTTCTGTGTAATAAAAAAATCTTTACAATGCTATTGCGAATATAACGCGGTAATTGTATTATATATTTTATTGAAGAGCAATTGAAAAGTTAAAATGATACTACAACATATTTCTATATTCATTTTACGTAAAATAATACAGATTACGTTAGAGTAGACTAATTGCACCTTATATTTTTATATAAAAGGTATAGTACAATTTATACTATTATACTTGCATTGTGGAATTTTAAGTTTTATTTTTATTTTACGTGGACAGAGAAACAATCACCGCAAAGTATGAAATTGAAGAGCTTGCGAGCTGAAATATAAATTATATTATAGCAAATCTAAAGCAACAACGCTTGATAAAGGGTTATTATAAGTGTCAAAATTTTACCGTGGCGAATCCCTCTAATGACGAAATAAATAAACCAGCAATGACGATTGTACAATGTCGCATGCTTCTTTGCATCACAAGCAATAATAACTTTTGCGCTTTTAATGAGGCTACGTACCATTGCCCATTGTATCTAAAATCTTGTTATTAGGAAATCATAACTGGAAACTTTTATCATACCGAAAATTTACGTTTCTTTAATGGTTAATTAAGCCCGTAATTAAAATCCGTTTGTTTCATTTACACTTAATACTCTCAAGTACAAGTTAAACACATGTAACAAAGTACTTGAACAAGAATTATCTTGATGCTATTAGTTAAGGTTTCATATGTACGTTACTCACGTTTTGTAAAATACATCGCTGCTATGATCAATCACTTGCTGTCCTATATAATTGCCGAAAAGCATGTACCAAAAATGGCCAGAAATAAACACAAAGCTAATAATCGTTTCGTAATAATCCTCTGTTGTTATCAACTGAGAAAACTAAAACACAAATGATTAATTTGCTGTCGTAGGAAAGAAATAATACAACTTATATTTACGGGTACATATGATACTACAGGTACAACGTCAATAGTATTCGATCGAGATATGTCGATTATTCAGCTCTTATTAATTAACAATGGTATATAGAATACACGAAATTAATAAGTTATAAACAAAACAATTGCTTACACGATACAGATTAATACTCAGCGATAAAACTCCTATTGGTAATAGTAATGAATATGCCCTTGTATAAAGTACCTTCATCATTTCCACAAACCTTAAATAACGATAAATCGTAAATTCGCGTAGGCAAAATGTATCAGACAAGTGACAATTACGTGTGCTAATAATGCATAAAGTTTCGTCTATTTTTTGTTTAGTTGAAGACGTAAGACAAAATCACACTACGGAATGTAAAAACTTCTAATCATATTAATGGCCATTACGAACTCGTTAGCTCTTTGATACATATTGAAGCCATGGATTATCCCTCGACATATTATCAAGCTTCTTTCCGTGGGAGATGAAATATTTTGTACCGTATTTTCGTGCAGTGCTTGTTCTATCCGACAGCTGAAATTGATAGCGTGACTGCAATATGTTTGTAAACGCCATTAAACTCAATCAATTCATTTCTTAAACCCTGATAGCACAGAAAAGCTTCTGCAACGTCGCAGAGACATAAACACAAACTTATTAAAACCATCACAGTTACGTTGCATAATGTCTCTCTTTGTCAGATGTTCCTGCAAGGTTGCAGTAACATCAAAATGTCCGTTTCGGCCCACAAGACACATTTTTGAAATATGACGGAAATGTTTCTAGAAGTTTTCGGTTAGATTGGTATATTTCCATCAAAAGCTTGTAAAAACATTGCATAGACTTTACACTGCAAAACTGTAAAATTGTATAAAAGTTTGGAAATATCTCTGCAACAATTAAAAAATATTTTGTCTGGTGTATTCAGGTTTTCAACGTTTTGCCAGCGGAGCTCGGATTGAGTTGATCTGTCCTTGCAACGTAACTTGTGACATAGCTGGAACTTTTGTGTTATCAGGGAAAGTTTTGTATTTTGTCTTACCTGGCTACATCAAATAAACCGCACGCATGAAGTATGAATGACATATTAAGCATTTCGGTGGCTACTACTGTGGTTAGGCCACACACAACAATAATATATATTTGGATTAAAATTGGAAAATAATATTTCTGCTGATCTATAAAACATTCTATTAGGACTGGAAATTGTCGTAGACGCGATTCATTTTTACTGGACGTGATATCCAGTAGAATGTTAAATAGAAACTGTGCCACAATGAAGGAAAAAATAGACACATAGAAGAACACTGTAATTAAACAATTAAAATTCGGATAGAAGTAACTGAATCTAAAGCGTAGAAAAATTATTCACGAGATTGCTCACATGTTGTAATTAACGTAATGAGTCTTGCGAAAGCTGCATACTCTTTTATTATTTCAATTTCTTGCATATCGTTTAATTGATTCCAGTCATGTTGTATTCGTTCCATAAGGTATCGAATCTGTGTTTATAATATCATGATTGTTTAATAAATTTTTTAAGTTTTAAATAAAATGAATAATTACGATTTATTTCTCTTATACATTTCTCCACAAGTATAGGTATCTGCATTTGATATCGAACTTTCTTACCCGTCTTATGTTTAAGCAGTAAACATTATATTTAAACATATAGCTTAGCCACGGGATGCTATATGTGAGGACACGTAGAAGCATATCTAGATTATATTCTGTTGTGATGAAAATCGTTAGCTAAAAGTGATATTTTCCACTCAGATCGTTTATACTTTTATGTTAACGATAATTCTTTCAGTTAGAATGGTTTTGAAGAAGTTATTCAAAATATACGTACAAAGAAGAAATTTTGTTTAAACATTACTAAATTTATAATAATTTTATCTTCTTTATTATAATTTAATATTTTTAACTGAAGGAAAATTCCCTTTTTAATGAGAGCAATTATAATCAAGTTTTTATTAAATATATCATAATTTATTACATTATTTCTTGTCATATTATATTTTAACATTTGGAACAAAAAGAAATATTACCTTTTAATGAGAATAACTACAGTATATTAATGTCTTAAACTAATAAAATACAATTATTTGTATTAAATTATAAAATTGAATAAGACAAGGCTTTATTAATTTTTATCATAAATAGTACGCAAAGATTTAAAGTATTAAAAGAATTTTGAAATAGAGAAGATATTATCATACCTGAAATATTATGCCTGATGCAATCATTATGGTTGTAAATGTTATTATGATACGTCTGAAACTAGACTTTTGGTATGGCCACAAGCCAATGCATAGTAACAAAATTCGATTGATTATATAGTATTGATTTACCGGGCAATTTTGCCAATCCGACGTAAATGTTAAAACGCGTTTGTGTCGAATTTCTTTCCACGAGTTACCACTTAGGTTTGCCATGTTCGATTGTATATAAATTATAATTCACTATTTCTGCTCATTCAAAATAATATGCTGATCTCTTACAAAATTACAATAGCTTACTGTAGTCATGTAAATTATAACTTTAACATATATTTGGCCAGGGTAGGTATCTATAATCCCTCGGTGAACGTTATTATTTGCAGAATTAACCAATTCTTTTTTCTTGCGTATGTGGGTGATATTTCTCTTTTACGTTCGATCGGCGCACGCGCAATTGCAAAGTCGCCTTCACACGTTTCCGACGTCTCTTCACTTCTATTCGAGACTCGGAGCGTTACAGTACTTTCTTTACAACGTGCGTACTGAAATAATGTGTGCTAACATCATTCCAGATTAACTAGAAAAACTATTACACGACTGTCATAATTTAAAGCCGTGATTTATGTATCATGCTTGGTGAGTACTGCAAAGACTTATGGTAGGTTAAAACGCTAAATTAGTAAGCTGTCATAAGTAACTGCATATATTGCGTTGTAACATAAATACACTAAAAACTCACTCAATAATAAGCTGCAGCACACTTGTCGGGTTCAAGCCCGGGCATTCACTAACGTGTCGCAAATTTGTTAAATAATCAAACTTTAACCTGATGATATACTTATATGTGCGTATATATATTTTTTTATTTATATAAAGGAAGAAAATTAATAAAAAATTTTTTACCTTTTTCTTTATCATAAAAATAAGTGAGCTATTTTAAGTGAACATGTTTATTGTATAGGTATTAGGAAAAAATGTGATATAATGATTGACGTCATATTCGTTAAATAGTTTGAAATTAACACCACAGAGATCAAGATTATACTTTTCAATTAAGATCTTTAATCACATTGCTCACGTACATACAGACACACACATTAAAAAAATATTATGATACAACTAAGATAATATTATGAGATACATATAAAATATTATCATAAGTTTCCATAAAATTATAAAATTGACGAATGTATCTTTTATAACTAAAATTATCTTCATACGGAACATAAGAGCGTCAGAAAAGAAACCAAAAAACTGAGGGTCTAAAACAAAAAATATTATTTAGAGAGCTAAATGGTACAATGATTATTTTTATTAATAATATATATGATTTCTCACCCTGGCCAAACCTTCTAAAGAGGGACTAAACAAACCAGCAGCATCGACTTTGTAAGATTTTGTAGTTTTCCTCATCAAGAAAAATATAAACTTTTGTATCTTTAATGGTGCGTTGTACCACTTTGAGTTACATCTATATTGTAAAAAAGAATTAGTCAGTCTATAATTACATCTTTATAGAAATTATATACGGGTCTATAAACTGTATTTTTAATATAGTATATCGTGCCTACAAAAGGTATATTAATTGTACTACGTACATCGTTCGATGGACTTGATCATCACAATTTATAAATTCTTGTCCAACAAAATTAGCTATAACTAAAAATATAAAAATGACACACACATAAAATATTAATTTACCAAGTTCTAGCTCTTCCTGGTGCATCGTTATTATTCGAAAAATCTACAAATAAAATCAATGGTTGCAATAGTTACAAGTAATCTATAAAGCTAGCGATAGTAATCATATATAACCAGTATTTCTACGTACACGAAAGAGTGAAACAGCTGCCGTACATATAGACATTAAGATCATAAACAGGTACGATAGCCCCAAGCTCTTTTGTAATAAATCCGAAAATCTAACAGAATAACGGTTTTTTGTTATTACTCACGATCATTAATTGTAAAAGACTACGATATCCTATCTTTAAGTTTTTACCAATAATCTATTGGTATTATAAGACATTTTTGGAATTTCTGACGTACTAACTCGATAGCTCTTTTATGGACGTCCACGGCAGCGATTATTTTATCACAAATTATAATAGTGCTATCATAGCTTTTAGCTACACGTATTTGTGAAATATGTACGCTTAACATATGTTCCATACGGTAACTATAAAATTCTGTATGTCATGAAAAAGATATACGTATGCTATAATATTGTATAACACAAAATTATTAAAAGAATTTACTATAAATCTAACTATATAATTGTTATATTGTTATATATTATTTTAATAAATATTAATCATATGCATTCTTACACACGTACGCATATGCATGTACACACTCACGTACGCACGTGCGCACGCAAATCAAGTATACGTTCAAAGGCTCCCATATTATTCAATTTTTGTTTCCCTATTATGTACAGTTTATCTTCTTACCATATTTTCTCAGTTTCATATTTACACGACCAGATGTGATTGTGTATAAAGTGAAAACGAAAGCAATGCAAGAGTGAAAGTCGTAAATAATAAGGAGAAGGGAATAAATGCGTACGTCTATATACGATACCACAATCCGACTGTACAAAAAATCTGAACATAACTGAAAAAAATTCTATGGATTGATAATAATCGAATAAGAAAATGTAAATTATTGCCTTCGAAATATTCTCTTAAGATAGAAATACAACTTGAATTTGTAATTTAAAAAAAGGTAAAATGAACTGAACAAGAACAACGACTAACGTTTAATAAGAATCGTTTATCACTTACGATGTACCTGGCAACTTTAAACATTCCAAAAGCATGTAATGCGTTCGATAATGAAAATGTTTCAATAGCTAGTCCAGTAGTTGCACAAAGGAACATTCCAATAACTTCATGCATAAGTAGAATACAAAAATATTTTTCCTGATTGTTAAAATATTTCGCCTGATGGAGAAGTATACTTGGACGAGATTCATTTAAAGGTACTATGACATCAAGTAAATCCGGAAGATATTGTATTAAAGTGAAAACAAAAATTCCAAAATAGATGGATACTAAAGTGTAGAAAATTTTACTATTTTATTTAGTCACAGAGTATAATTGTTATCCTGAGTATATATTTTCAAACATTCAAATTATTTGTTATATCAAATATAATAAAATTATCAATTTTTTAAAAAACAATATACATATAGATCACACTTGAAATAAACACAACAATGCTGTTGATAATATTTATACAAATAATATACAGGGTGTACTAAAACCACCGCATATCCTTTTAATCATAAATTCTTTAGAAACTTTCAAGACAAAAATTCTAATACAAAAATGTCGAGGCTATAATTGTTTTTAAATAATAAGCGATTACATTTCACAAATGACAGGCCTGAGATTTCGCGCGCTCAGGTACGGCGACACGACAAGTGATAAAGGTGGTCCTACGAATATCGCCCTTTTTAGCATAGTGACAACTTTCACAACAGACTTAACGATTCATTCTGGAATTAATTGTTCCTCTTGTTATCTTTAACCATTTCTTAACTTTGTGTAACGTCTTATTAATAATAAAAGGGAGGAGTTCACTATGATGAGTATCTTGATCAGACTGATATCCTTCGATTTAGTCGATCTCCGATATTCTGAGTGAACTTCAAATTTTCAGTTAGATTCAATCTAGTCTCCTGCCTCTCTTTATCCTCAAGTTTTCAAAATAACCGGATCATCATCTTCCCAAATATTTTCTGTTCCGTTAAACGGTAACTTTGGTTCTCGCTCGCTCGCGAAACCATAGACATAGTAAGACTAGACCGAGCGTTTGCCTTCATTTGAAGAGTGGGGGTAGCGCCAACGTAGAAAAGGACAAACAATATAGAACGTATCTCCTTCTCTCTCATATGCGCTCGGCCTCCCGATCGCTCCCACCACGCTCCCGATCGGAACTCACATTTAGGTTAGAAACACGCAGAGAGTAGAAAGAGACGAAGATACGTACTATATCTTTTCTCTCGTTCTACATGAGCCCTTACCCCCACTCCTTAACGCTCGGTCTAGTCTTACTATGTCTATGCGCGAAACACATAGGAACATTTTTATCACTCGTCATGTCGCCGTGCCTGAGCGCGCGAAATCTCAGACCTGTCATTTGTGAAATATAATCGCTTATTATTTAAAAACTATCATAGCCTCGCCATTTTTTTATTAGAATTTTCCTCTTGAAATTTTCTAAGGAATCTGCGATTCAAAGCATATCCGGTGGTTTTAGTACACCCTGTATAAATGCTGAGAAAACTTCAAAATAATATGTGGGCGTTGTATTTATATTAATTGTTATACATATATTGTATTAATTGTTATTACTTATTGTTATATTAGTGGTCAGTTAGGTCGAATTAATTCTCCATCCCGGTTTATTATTCACTGGCGATATAATACATACCATATATTGATAGTGTTATACAGGGTGCTACG